TTGAGCTGGAGTTCTACAGAATCGGGCGGTGTGCCCCTTTTTGTTACAGTTGGTGCAATGCATTTCACGGCATGCACCGTTGTGGTGGTAGCTGCATTTGTTGCACTTGGGCATGTTCCCGGGGTATTGCCTTATTGGAGTGGGGTTGGCGGAGGTTGTGGCGGCGTGCACTGCAACCACTTGTTGTTTCTTGGCAGGGTCTTGAGTAGACTGGTCCTTTTTCTTGTTCCAGAATTTTCTTTTGTTGTTTAACCCTTTTGCTTGTTCGGAGGTGATCGCTACAGTGTCGTGGCTGGCGTTATGGTCGATGAGTTGTTGTGCCAGTTCCTTGGCACTGTCGAAGGTAGTTGGCCTTGAGGCCAATACGTGTCCTTGAAGTTGTCGAGATAATCCTCATACGTATCTTTCCACCTTCTTGCTTTCAGTAGAAACCATCCCGAGACACAATATGGCTAGATCGCTGAACCTCGAGGTGTATGACAGGATGTCAGAGCCTGTCATTTTAAGACCCCAAAATTCTTCTTCCAGTTTCTGTATCTCACCCCTGGGGTAGTACTCCTTCATCAACATGGTTTTCAGATCTTCCCATGTTATCGTATTAGCCACTGGGAACGTTAGTGCCTTGATGTGACCCTTCCACCAGGTGAGGGCTCTTTCGGAGAATGTGCATGAAGCAAATTTGACCTTGCTTGTTTCAGGGCATGCACATATTTCGAAAATGGTCTCGATTTTCTCAAACCATTGTAGCAAAGCTATGACACCTCCGCTTCCGTTGAAGGTTTTGGGCTTGGCGTTAGTAAAGTCTTTGTAGGTACACTCTCTCGAGCGTCCCTGGCCGTCCCCGTTATTAGAATTCGAGACACCACTACCTGCACCTCCCGAATTACTGGGGTTGATTTGGGCTATCACGGCTGCTACTGCGGCCGTTATCGCAGCCTGAAGCATGGCTGGGTTGAACTGAGGAGGTGGTGGGGGGGGGGGGGGGTTGTGCAGTCCCAGCTGTTTCGTCACGTCTAGGATTCCTACGAGGTGGCATTTTCTGCCATTTTACAAGCATGAAAAGACAATAAGTCTTTGATACCAGTCGAGTGTTAAACTAATCATTATTAGTTATTTATATGCATCATGATTCCGACTTGTAAAAATGTTGTAAGAATTCATTCATACTAGAAGTCTATAAACAATGAAATATAGACTTTATGAATTTCGATAGTATTGATTCTCACGAAATGTCTGTGATAGTATCCATACTGGGTCCAACCAATAATCACTTGATGTATAATATTTACATGTAATTAAGATTAAATAAACTTTCGAATCTAATGGTTCTGCCCTGGGCCCACAACCAAACAAGGAACAGGATCCAAGGCGGAACCACCATTTCTAGGTCGACATGGTCTCAATTACATATAACTTTGGTTTATATCTCAGGTGATCATAGGTTGAGTACCAGTAAATTTTTATCTGAAAAATAGTTCATGTTATGAATCTGATGTAGTGTTTCCAATAAAACAAATGGCGCGTCAACATCATTGATATAACTTAGTATACAGTACTTTTGAAAAATTTGACCCTTAAGCAGGTCTACTCACGGTAATCGGCCCCTGGCGGTGTAAGAGATATGACATGAATCTAAAATGTCGAGTTATAAGTTTACAAAATACTCCCATAGTATTTTTAAATGTTATGTTTGGTTCTTAGTGTCTTTATTATAGGGTGATGTTAGGTTGTCAGATTTGTTGTCCACTACGTCTATCCCCCAATATATGTAAGTAACTTCTCGGACAGATATAGTTGATCAGGCTATATTCTTCCTTGACTTGATTCGCATATACCAAGGCATATCCATAGTGTACAACTCCTCTTCTTTTACTTTATGTTCTCCTAGTTATGACACTATGCGAGCATGTATGCATGTGTTTATACTTTTAACAAGAAAACTATTTATTTTCTAAAAGTATAGTCATTTGAAAATGTTCAATCAGAGACTTTCAGTCCCAAATGTGTTTATAGTTTGTATATCGTATGTGGTTCGATATACTGAGTTCACTATAAACATTGCTCTGATACCAATCTGTAACACCCCCAAACCAAGGATGGCGGAAACGTCCGGGGGTGGAGGACTTCATGTATAGTATCATAACAACAGTTTCAATAGTGATCAAAGTAAACACAACCAACATAAAATATAATTGAAAAAGTTGCATCATTGTATGAATTACATGTTTACGAATCAATTACATTATGTTGACAAAATATGAAATGTTTTGACGCCTTAACGTCCCATCCTCAAAAGCACTTGTTTACCTGTTTAGTGATTCCTGAGAATGGGACGTTAAGGCGTCAAAACATTTCATATTTTGTCAACATAATGTAATTGATTCGTAAACATGTAATTCATACAATGATGTAACTTTTTCAATTATATTTATGTTGGTTGTGTTTACTTTGATCACTATTGAAATTGTTGTTATGATACTATACATGAAGTCCTCCACCCCCGGACGTTTCCGCCATCCTTGGTTTGGGGGTGTGACAGAAATAGTTTAAATCAAGAAGATGAATCATACTTCATTTCCAAAACAAGTCTTAAAGTGATACTCCGAGATTGAACCTTGAGTGACATAATCTTAAGAAAGGTTTATAACACTTATCAAATGTAGAGTAAAATGTTTTCTACTCTTGTACATTTGAAATTGGTAAGTTGTGATGTTTTGGGTAAAACAAAGACCGACTAAGGCCAATTGTGTGAAGTGTTAGTCTTGATTAGAATCCACACTAACTCTTGAATATTTGTTTGTCAAGTCATGTTCCTTGAAAAAGTGAACCTTATATGTCAAGAGGTCAGTGAGAGTCTTAAAGATCTTGAAAGTTTCAAGAACAAATCAAGAGTAAACCTATTGTTAAACACTAGCACACGACTTGAGGTTGGTAACCTATCGTGTTGACATATTCTTATTTATGTGCCCATTCCATTTAAAGTTGACTATGTATGTGAGTTCTATGAGTACTCAATTGTTTTCATGACAACTTGGAAGCAATGGTAGACCCTTGTGCTGCCAGGTGGCAAGAAATTAAGATTGAACAAGTTCAGTCCATATGAGTTTGGATTTGTCACTAATCATGTCTTGTGATTATGGTTGTGACAAATTCACATGGATAGGAACACATACACCATAAAATCTAAGTGTCATAAGGTTTCTCTCCGATTCATGAAAATGATGGTGAGGAAACGCTTTCACTAAATAGATTTTTTAAGATAGCAATTATGATATTTGCATTCTCAAATTTGATTATGATTACGGCATACCTTTTATAATTCGAATTGTGAGGAATGGCAAAAAGTCTAAACATTTGAGACTTATTGTTGTAAGTTCTTAAATTGTTTAGACACAAATATGAGCTGTCTAAGGAAAGGTGTATGAGTTTTAGAAGCCTAGATAAAGTCTTATCAAAGCATCTCGTATCAGAAATCTGAACTTTGGTAATGAAAGTCAATAAGTATTGATTTTTAGAAGTCCAGCTGATTTTTGGGTACATGTCAAAGCTACTGGGAGCATAAATATGTCTTTTTGACAATCTAAAGTCACTAAACTTTGTTTGCTAACCTTAGATATCTAAAAAGAATGTGAAAATCTGTTTTGATGAGTTATAAAGATCAAATCAACTAAAAAACTAAATTCAATGAGTAAATCGGTATAAATACTATAATTTAGTGTATAATTTTGATCTTAACCTATTTAATGAATAAAAAAAGTATTTATAAATTTAAAAGAAATTTTTAGTAAAATTTATTAAAGTAAATATTTTTAAAATTAATCAGTAAGGATTTAAATTCGTTTGTCGTTTCCAAAAAAATAGAAAATCAAAAATATCAAGATATAGATTTGTTCGGCAAAACTAACTTTTAGAGGGTAACATGTAGCAGGTAGTAGGTAGTGAGTAGCGGGTAACGTTTTAGATTTGGAACGTTTTGTTAAATTAAACACTAAAATTTTTAGTGTCAAACGATGTTTTTGTTCAAAATGGAGCCTTTTGTTAAACGTTAAAAGTTAAAACTCTCAAACGCTCCGTATAAAATAATTTAGAAATCAAGAATTTTTAAGCAGAGTTTTTGTATATAAGTAACTAGGTTATAACCAGTGAGAACCACGGTTATAAAAATAATTAAATTTTTATAATAAAAACTCATAATTATTAATTAAAATTGGTATATAGCAAATCAAAAAATTAAGTTGTTGAAATAAACATATATGAAAAAATATAACAAATTACAAATGAAAATTAATTATAAAGTTTTATTACAAATAATAGTATATGATGTAATAAAAAATAATATTTTATAAACTATTTACGAATTGTATTTATTGAAATTTGAATTAAATTTTTTATTGAGTTAGACTTAATGACATTTTTGGAATAAAGGACTGAATTATAACAATAATTCTAAATATGGTATCTGTCATGATAACACGCTTTCCAAAAGATATCATTTGTAGTCAAGTATCATTAAATAATTCATTTTTCTGATCAATGTTTGTCAATAATATAATCAGAACACATACCTTTGAAAAATAACTCATGATTTGGCATTCGTGCGATTTTTAAAACATTGTGAGTACAAAATTTGCATCTTAACTTGATCATCAACAAACTTAGATTGGAAGAGACTATCTAAAATTAAATATTCTATTTGAACTCTTGAATATAATAATTTAGAGACACAAATTGATTAAAAGAAAATTCTTAATAGGAATAAGTAATATTAATGATTTCTAAGATGATATTTTCCAATAGAACGGTATAAAATGAGGTATAAGTAGGTATTGTATATAAGTAATAAGTTTTAATTTAATGTAAACAATATTTTAAACTAAAATTTAATTGAATATAAACTTTACTAGTCGTAAATATCATTAATTTCAATTCTATATATATACAAACACCAAACTTACTCGTTCACAACTAAAAGCAAAACGTCAACTCTAACAAATCTCCCGATGACAATGCCGTATAATCAGAACTATTCTGAATTCACTTACGAATTTCCGCCAATATCTAATTGCAATACATTTGGCCGGGAAAACCAAACTATAGTCTCGGACATGGACGGAACTTTGCTCCGGGGACGTAGTTCATTTCCTTATTTTGCCCTCGTTGCATTTGATGTTGGTGGAGTTTTAAGACTCCTCATTTTGCTTCTTGCCTCTCCCTTCGCCGGAATTCTCTATTATTTCATTTCAGAGTCTGCCGGGGTCCGTGTTATAATATTTGCCACCTTTGCCGGGGTGAAGGTTTCTGACATTGAATCTGCGGCGCATGCCGTCTTGCCAAAATTTTACGCCGATGACCTTCACCGGGAGGCCTGGGGCTTGTTCTCGGCTTGTGGGAAGAGGTGTGTTTTGACAGCGACTCCGACTGTAATGGTGGAGCCCTTTTTGAAGGAGGTTTTGGGTGTCGATTTGGTGATGGGTACGGAGATTCATAGTTGGAAAGGAAGAGCTACCGGACTTGTTAATAAACCTGGAGTTCTCGTCGGAAGTAACAAGGCTGACGCTCTTTTGAAGGCTTTTAAAGACGCGTCACCACCGGAGTTGGCACTTGGTGACCGAGAAACTGACTACCCATTCATGAAATTATGCAAGGTCATAACCAAAACTCATAAAAAATGTGTTCTTTCCTTTCAATTTTCAAAACATTTATACTTGAACTATATTTATATAAAAAAAAAAGTACTCATTTTAAACCAAAAAATATATTGGTATTACAGCAAACTTATCTCCTGGAAGCCGATTAATTAAAATCAAGATCGGTTGGGATCGAATAATTGATATATTATGTATCATTACTATTATAGTACATATGATAATATCATAAAAAAATAACATTAAGAAGATATATGGTAACAATTTTTTTCGATATACAACTTTTATTTGGACTTGTGATCCACTTATGACATAAATATCAACCATAAACGGAACGACATCGAAAAAAATAATGTTATTTTACAACTAAAAAAAAGAGATTGGAGTTTCAGTTGTGGGTCAGATGGACAAAACACAAACAGATATATAGTTTGATATGGTTACTTTGACTTAGATATTTCATAATCAACTAAAGTCATCTTCTTTAACTTCAGGAAGGTTATATAGTTCCACCAGCCACAGCGGAAGTTCAGGCTGTAACAGCAGACAAGTTGCCAAAACGAGTGGTGTTCCACGACGGCCGATTAGTCAATAAGCTTACCCCATTCATGGCTCTAGTCACCATTCTTTGGATTCCGGTGGGTTTCCTCCTTGCATGTCTACGTATAGCCGCCGGAATGTTCCTCCCCATGAGTATAACGTATTACGCTTTTTGGGCACTCGGAATGCGAGTCATAATTAAAGGATCACCACCCCCAGCGGCTAAAAAGACAACCGGTCAAACTGGCGTCCTATTCGTCTGCTCCCACCGTACCCTCCTAGACCCGGTTTTCCTCTCCGCAGCCCTCGGCCGTCCAATCCCCGCCGTCACATACTCTCTTTCAAGACTCTCGGAGATAATGTCTCCTATCAAAACTATCGGATTAACCAGGGACCGGACCACCGATGCCAACATAATCAAGAAGCTTCTACAAGAAGGAGATTTGGTCATATGCCCAGAAGGAACGACCAGTAGAGAACCAATTCTGTTCCGGTTTTCAGCTCTGTTTGCAGAACTCACAGACGACCTGGTTCCGGTGGCTATGTCAACCAAGATGTCCATGTTTCAGGCCACTACCGTAAGAGGGTGGAAATCAATGGATGCATTTTACTTCGCTATGAACCCTAGTCCAACTTATGAAGTTACTTTCTTGAACAAGTTACCCTATGAATCAACTTGTAGAAACGGGAAACTGAGCCACGATGTCGCAAATAATATACAACAAATGATCGCCTCTAGTTTGTCGTTTGAATGTATGAATTTCACGAGGAAAGATAAGTACAGAATATTGGCCGGATATGATGGTAGGTGCCGGAAAATTGTGTGAGGCTAGGTATGGCAATCGTTAAGCTATATGTAGTAGCATAATTAAATTATGTAATACATATTTATGTCAGCTTTAACCATAGCCATGGAGGTTAGGCTAAGTATGACTGTCACTTTCAATAATAGTGCCATACGCATTTATGTCAGCTTTAACCATAGCCATATATAGACGATTTACTACAAAAAAAGGTTAGAAAATTGTGTTGATAATTTGCCACTTTCAACTTCACCATGTCATTTATTTATTTTTTATTTTATATTTTTTATGGTCAATTTAATGTGCTTCTAAATTCCTCTCTATGTCTTTAATGAGATTTTAAAATCTATGACTTTTTCACCATGCTATTAAGGTTTCAGACCATTATTTACTCTATGGTGTAGCACGCCACGCATTAATTGTAATTTCGCATCAGTTTGTTTTTAGAATGCATCCGACTACAAAACATATGAATGTGTTTTGTTTAGCATTTGACTTCTCTTTTCAAACCTTTTTAGCTTTCATTTTTTGAAATGATTTTTTTTTTGAGAAATATAGTATAACTTTTTTTTTTTTTATAAACTTGTGATTTTTCTTTTAAAACTTTGATTTTTTTTAAACTTTGATTTATGAATTTGATACAATTTCTTTTTTATAGTTCCAACAATTTTTCATAACTTGATTTTTTTCAAACGTTGATTTTTTTAAATTTTTTATCGTTTATTTTAATAAAAAGTTTGAATTATATCTTTTTTAACATGTGCGATTCTTGTATGAATTTTCTAGACATTTTTTACAGTTTTTTTTATAATTTTTTTATGTTATTTAAAATTAGTTTTTTAAAAAAATAAAAAATTATGATAGCTTCTTTTACATTTTTTATATTTTTTTACATGTTCTTTTTAGTATTATTTCAATATTTTAAAACTGGATTATTAAAATTTCGATATTGAAAACTATTTTCAGTTTGTAAAATCAGTTTATTTAAATTTTAATTTATTGCAACAGCTTGCAGACGTTAAAAAACAAACAAACTTCTTACAGGATGCATTCGTTTGGTCCACCTCTTCTCATGCAGAGAGTTGTAAATGTGATCAACGGACTTCATTAATTTTTGCTTCGAAAAAACAAACAACACCTAAATCTCCAATAGAAAAGTGCTACCATAACTATACTACGTCATCTTTATTACATGTTCACTACCACACCACTAATTATGGAAAATAACCACTAACTATGGGAAATGATTGCCACTCCACAATTATTTATATTTTTCTTTACATTAAATTAAGTAAAAAAAACATAATTTTTAAAATTAAGTAAACATTTTACGAATTTTCTAAATCACACACACACTCCATATAATTCCATATTACCAAATCAACTAAACCCCCAAAAAAATTACTCCATATTACAAAAAAGAAAGTTTAACTGTAACATCCCGAGATTATTGCAGGTATTTCCGAATCCTCTCTTCTATCATTATATTGTCATTTGTAGTCCTTGAGGTTGGAAGTGTCGAGCCAGGACTAGTCTAAGGGTCACGGTTGCAACCCTGGAGGTAGGAAGGCAAGCTTGTAGATCTGAGGTTTCCTTGTGCTATAGAAGCTCCAGAAGGTAAAAAAGCTTCAAACTTTATGCTTGTATGAGAAGGTAAAAAGCTTCAAACTTCATGGATTTGGCAATTGGGCCTTGGCCCAATAAAGAGAAATGACAAAATGGATTATGTGGACCCTTAGTCAAGATTGATATTCCATGTATTGACATGGTGTTTATTATTTGGATAGTTCGGGATTTTCGGAGATAACGATCAGAGACTTTCAGTTCAGTTCAGCACTACTTGTGAGGTGAGTTTTCCTCACTATACTCAAGGTTCTAAGGCACCAAGGCCGGCCCTTTTTGGATTGTTATCCTGATATGTTATACGCTCGAGGATTGTATGATCGGTTAGATTAGTATCCTGGTAGATAGGATGTTGTATGTTGTTATGACCTGTTAGATCAGTATCCTAGTAGATAGGATGTTATATGTTGTAATGATCTGTTAGATCGGTTTGTCTGTCTATACACTGTTATGTGATTATCTGGTATATGTGCACATGTTTGATTGGTGGTTGAGGCTTATCTACTCTGTGCGATAGCCAACAGACCTGGGCATTCCAATCCGATGGTTATGGGTCGTGAGTATTCCATCCCGAGGATGACTGGACTTGTAGTTTGTAGGCATTCCAACCTGATGGTTGTGGGCCTGTGGTATTCCATCTCGAGTATGATTGGACCCATAGTATATTGGCATTCTAACCCGATGGTTGAGGGCCTCGGGTATTCCAACCCGATGGTTGATTGGACCCATGGTATGTTGTTCGTGATTATATGTATATTGTTGTGTGTATGGGTTTTTTGGGGGAAACTCACTAAGCTTTGGGCTTACAGTTTCAGTTTTGGTTTCAGGTACCTCAGATGATCGCGGGAAGGCAAAGGCGTAAATCGTACAGCTCCTCACATTTTATGACTATGTTTCTGGGAGACTCTGATATAGAACAATTTTGAAAACAAATTTGTAACATCTATTGGTTTCTAAATGTTTTAAAAAGTTTAAATTTGACATGATTTTTTTTGGATGTTACAAGTTGGTATCGCCGACAGACGCCAATCTGAGTTGGAATTCCAGGTAGGTGACATGGTATTACTGAAGGTTTCACCCTAGAAGGGTGTAATTCGCTTCAGAAAGAGGGGAAAGTTGGGTCCCCGATATATTGGACTATTTCGGGTTACTGCCAGGGTTGGCAAGGTTGCATATAGATTGGATCTTCTGGAGGAGCTCCGTCAGATACATAGCACTTTCCATGTTTCGCAGTTGTGAAAGTGCATTCTAGACGAGGAGGCGGTGGTATCATTAGATGACATTAAGGTCGACGAGGGCCTGAATTGTGTGGAGAGGCATGTGGCCATTCTTGAGAGGAAGGTGAAGATTCTACGAAACAAGGAGATAACCTTTGGTAAAGGTACAGTGGGAACATCGGAGGGGATCCGAGTGGACTTGGGAGCCAGAGTCCGAGATGCGGGAGCACTACCCAGATCTATTTGCCGCAGCAGACTTCGAGGACGAAGTCTAGGTCAAGTGGGGGAGAGTTGTAACATCCCGAGATTTCTGTAGGTATTTCTGAATCCTCTCTTCTATCATTATTTTGTCATTTGTAGTACTTGAGGTTGGAAGTGTCGAGCCAGGACTAGTCTACGGGCCAAGGTTGCAACCCTGGATCAGGAAGGAGTACGTTGAGCGTACATAAGGGTAACCTAGGCGTACACTTGTGTACGCTGGGTGTACTTATGTCAGGAGAAAACCCTAATGTCTAGGGTTGGAGGCTATATAAACATCCTTATGGCTCATTTTCTCTCATCATTCTTAGCCTCCATATTCCAGAAACGTCCCAAACCCTAGTTTTGTGTGTGAGTGTGAGTTGGTGTGTGTTTTGAGCTCTTGAAGGTGAAGACATTGCATCAAATAGTTGGAGAAGGAAGGCAAGCTTGTAGATCTAAACTTTCCTTGTGCTATAGAAGCTCCAGAAGGTAAAAAAAGCTTCAAACTTTAGGCTTGTATGATATAGATCTTGCCATGCTAGCTTTATGGAACCATTTCTTGTCCCAAAAGTCCCAATTTGGTGCATGATGTGATTTGGACGAGATAAGTTGTCCTTTCAGACCCTTGAAGGGGTCCTAAGTGATAAAAAATGATGTCCCAATAGCTAAATGTATCTCATACATGGAGTAGGAAGGTCTTAATGGACTAAGACCATGTATTAGGAACTTTCTGGAGTTTGGACTTAAGTGCTTAAGCCATTAAGCACTTATTAGGGTTTTGGCAAAACCCCGTGTACGCCTCGTGTAAATTCTGTACGCCCAGCGTACTGGTCCAACCACTCCGATGGTGGTCAACATCAGGCAAGAGTACGCCCAGCGTACCAGAGGAGTACGCCTTGCCTACGCCCTCTGTTGGGCTTTTGACAAATTGGGCTTCGGGATTGGGCCGCTTTTGGACTAATGGGACTTGGGCCTTGCAGAGCTGTCTGAATAACTGAGGTTGGGCCAGTTTTGATAAGGGATCCTATAATAAGGCCCAATTAGGAAGTTAGGCCCAAATTGGGAAATTTGGGCCATTAATGGGCTTTGGATATATATGGGCTTTTAAGATCATGGATTTGGCAATTGGGCCTTGGCCCAATAAAGAGAAAGTACATAATGGATTATGTGGACCCTTAGTCAAGATTGATATTCCATGTATTGACATGGTGTTTATTTGTAACGACCCAAATTTTACAAAGAAATTTTTCATTTTTAATTAGTCAACCATATTTTATAAAACATGAAAAATCCCAATAATTGTTTTCAAAACCACCATCATTACAACATTATTATTTTCAAAACATCAGAGTGTCTCCCAACCCGTATCGGAAAAGAGAGATAGAGTGCATGCCGCATCATCACGCCTTGCCTTTGCCCTTGGGCACCGATGTACCTGAAACAAATCCACAAACGGTAAGCTGAAAGCTTAGTGAGTCCCCCAGATCATACCCCACACCAACCACATATCACATTAGCTATAAAGCTATCTCTACCACATATCACATGTCAATTAGCTATGAAGCTATCTCTACCGTTTGCCGCAAGAGTTATCTCTACCATTAGCCACAAGGCTATCTCTACCATTAGCCACAAGGCTATCTCTACCATCAGCCATAAAGGTTGTCTCTACCATTAGCCCTAAAGGGCTATCTCTACCGCATACAATGCATACATACATATCACACCTCTACATAACAAGTAATCCAACTAACGTAAAATGGGCCGGCCTTGGGTGCTTTAGACACATTGGTATGGTGAGAAAACTCACCTCACAAAGCTGAATCGGCAATTGAATTCAGATATGTCATGCTGCTCTTCCCAAACTTCTTATAACCAATTAGTAAATTATCTTAGCTCAGCCCCTAAGGCTCCTCTAAGTCAAACCTGGTCAAAGTCTAGGTC